ATATTTAGGTAAATTAGATATATTCAAGTCAGCAGATCCTTATGCAAGTCATCAGTAGGATACTTAAGGGATGAGTGTAAGCAATATCAAAACTGTTAGCAATTATCTTTGAGAATTCATGTAGGATGGATGAGGTCCCAGAGGATTGGAGAAGAGCAGACATAGTACCTACTTTTAAAAAAGGGAACAAAGAAGATCTGGGGAATTATAGACCAATCAGCCTAACTTGGAAACCTGAAAGATACTGGAACTAATTATTAAACATTCAATTTGTAAACAGCTCTAGAGCATGTCTACACAGCAGGGCAAAAGTCGAATTAAGCTACACAACTTGAGCTACATCAATTGTGTAGCTTAAGTGGGAATAGCTTAATTCAGCTTTTGGTGCTGTCTACACAGCAGGAAGTCGAAGGAAGAATAGTCTTCCATCGACTTCCCTTACTCCTCATGAAATTAGGGTTACATGGAATACTTTGCAGTTAATGGAGTCGGAGTAAGACACACTGTTTGTTATTTTGGAATAACATCAGTTATTCTGAAATAACGCTGCTGTGTAGACATACCCCTAGAGGATAATCAGGGTATAAGAACAAATCTTGCCAAATGAACCTAATTTTCCATGTTGACAGCATTACTGGCATAGTGGATAAGGGAGACGCAAGAGACATTATGCATCTTAATTTTAGTAAGGCTTTTGACATGGTCACATGCAACATTCTCATAAGCAAACTAGGGAAATATGTTCTAGATTAAACTATTAAAAGGTAGGTGTATAGCTGGTTGAAAGACTGTTCTCAAAGAGTAGCTATCAATAGTTTGCTGTCAAACTGGATGTTAACTAGTGTGACCTTGCAGGGATCAGTTTTGTGTCCAGCACTATTCAATAGCTTAATTAATGACTTGGATAATGGAGTAAAGAACATGCTTATAAAATCTGGAGACAACAAGCTGGGAGGGTTGCAAACACTTTAGGGGCTAGGATTAGAATTTAAATTTATCTTGATAAATCAGATAAATGGTCTGAAATCAACAAGATGAAATTCAATGAAGTGCAAAGTATTGCACTTAGAAAGGAAAGATCAAATGCACAACTACAAAATGGGGAATAACTGGCTAGGAGGTAATACTGCAGAAAAAGATGTAGGAGTTATAGTAGATCACAAATTGAATGAGCCAACAATATGATGCATTTGAGAAAAAAAATGATATCAGCATGGGATGTATTAACTGGAGTGTCATATGTAAGACAGTCTAGTCTAGTTTACACTGGTGAACCTTCAACAGAAATACTATGTCCAGTTTTGGGCTCCACACTTGAGAAAGATGTGGATAAAATTGGAGAGTCTTAAGAAAAGCAACAAGAATGATCAATGTTTTAGAAAACCTGACATATGAGGAAAAGTTTAAAAACCTGGGCTTGTTTAGTTTTGAGAAAAGAAGACTGAGGGGACCTGACAACAGTCTTCAAATATGTTAAGGGCTTTTATAAAGAGGGTGATAATAATTTGTTCTCTAAATGTACTAAAGACAGACCAAGTACTAATGGGCTTAATCTACAGCGAGTTGGATTTAAATTAGATATTAGGAAAAACTTTCTAACTAAAGAGATTTAAGACCTTGAACAGGCTGCCTCCAAGAGAGATTATGAAATCCCTATCATAGGGATTTTAAAGAACAGGTTGGGTAAATGTTCATCTGAAGTGGTTTAATTTTCCTTTTCTTGTCACAGAGCAGAGGTCTGCACTTGATGACATCTTGAGATCCCTTCAAGCCTTGCATTTCTATAATTCTGTTATTCTACAAAGGATATAATTCTAATGGAAATTAGTCTATTTATATTAAATGACAAGCTCAATATACAGATAAGTCAGAGGTCAGAGCAGGTGGTATGTCCAAGCTAGATCCACCCACAATTCCAAGATCTACCTGCAATCCTGGGATAGATAGGTATTTCTTCTAAAATTATCAGCAGCAGTGAAATGATTCATGTTGAAATACAAATGATCATCATTAGACTGTAAAGTCAACACCTCGTTGAAGTGAATGGGATAGTTTACAGCTCACTAATTTTTCTTCCAAAAATACATTCCACTGTCATTCTGCAGCTGCTGAGGGAGTTGGTGCTGTCACAGTGGTCAGCATATAGCTTCATGAGCAAAGGAGCACGCCCATGAGATTAATGGAATAATTTATGGATTGTTTTTCGGAAGACTCATTCAGACAACAGTATGGGTATGTCTACACTGCATCCCTAGTTCGGACTAGGGATGCAGATGGAGACGACCGAAGTAGTTAATGAAGCGGGGATTTAAATATCACACGCTTCATTAACATGATCTCGCCGGTGTGCTAGTTCAAATCACAGCTGATTTGAACCAGGAAGTGTGCACCGGGACGTGTTAGTTCGAACTAAAGCCCTTAGTCCTAACTAACGTTACTCCTCAAAAAATGAGGAGTAATGTTAGTTCTGACTAAGGGCTTTAGTCCGAACTAACGCGTTCCGTCGCACACTTCCTGGTTCGAATCAGCTGTGATTCCAACTAATGCGCCGTCGAGATCATGTTAAAGAAGCGCGGGATATTTAAATCCCCGCTTCATTAACTACTTCGGTCGTCTCCATTTGCATCCCTACTCCGAACTAGGGATGCAGTGTAGACGTACCCTCTGTTACATAAGATGGAAGCCATCTCCTCCATCATAAGTGCTAAAATGTTAGACCGCAAATCTCTGTGCCTCCATATGCTTTGCAAAGGAATGGAAGGAGGCAAATATGACTTCAATACAGTCCCCCTAATCTTGTAGCAGCTGTTGGCCTGCCTGGGCCTCCAGCATAAATATATCAGCTTCCAGGATTCTCCAACCTATGCTTTGGCTGCAGCAGCCCCAGATGAGCTCTTTGACAGGTGACACTACCTGGAACGCAGTATGCTAAGACTGCCCCTTCCCTGCTTCAGCATGCCTACTGTACTGCCTCTCTTCTATAGAGACAGCTCAGCACTGGCCTGGGAGCCCCATTAACTGGGCTCTCTCTCAGAGCTTGTTTCTGGCTCCTTTACTGCCCCTAAACTCCACTGGGTTAATGTAAAGGGGCATTTGCATGAGGGAGAATCAAGCTTTTAGTTTTTTTAAATAATAATCAAATTTCAAATCCTGTAGAAACTGCTAGGGTCACTAGAAAAGTTTTGGTCAATCTGACTTTTGCCCCTCACTACCGTGATCTTTCTGATTTTTTCCTTGCAGCTCCAAACACCAGGGGATTGTGCCAGAGTATCAGATAATCCAATTCATTCTTCTTCAAAACCTTTCCCAACATTGGCTCAGCCTCAGGCTGCGATCACAACAGCAACTGATGTGGTTTACTGTGGAAGCACAGTCATTCAGAATGTGGTGCCATTTGGATGTCAGAGAGAATATTACCAGTCTCGTGCCAGAGAGAACTTGGTTTCATACTCAAAAATCCATAGACCACATGGAAACCTGTTAGAACCTGATATAGAAAAAAACCCCATCTTGATGTCGGAATTCTTCAGCAAGCTCAATTTATCACCAGGAGAGAAGGCCATAATATTCCCTTTCCGTCACTACCCTCATCTCATCAATAAAACACGTGAGTGCCATCTTCATGGAGCACATTTGTATTTGGCACTTACATGATACATTTCTGTGGAAATACAGGGTGATAGTCCCAGTATGCTTCAGACACACATGATTATTACAGCACAAGAGGAAATTCTAACATACCCACAATCTTAGTGTAAGAATACAATAGATATGCCCCTATAGTATTCTTACACTCTGTCTCACTATCTATTCTACCTTTTATCTCAGATACAGATACACAGACATGAACTCTACGAAAAGAGGTCTGGGGTACATATTGATTGCGGACTATAAATCTGACTTTTGTTTACACAGAAAGTGCTTTCCACTCCAGTAGAATCTATCTGAGTAGCAGAAACTCCATAGACAAGAGACAAACGAAACTTCAGAGTGCTCAAGTGGTATTCCAAAAAACAAACTGCCACCAGTTCAGCCTTCAGGATCTTTTGGTGATCTCCACTCCAGCTCGAGTGAACCCACGTCTTAAGAAAAGCAATACTCTGACTTCAGGGGATAATCCAACAGGCAGGTAATAGATAGAATCACTCTGCTGTAATGTTGTACAGGTCAGTAGCAATCTGGGCTCCTTCAGGGAATACTTTGCTGTTAATAGACATTGGTGAGGGGTAAATTGCAGTGTGAAGTTATACTGTTTAATTTTTAGTTGTAAGGTCAGGCTATCGCAGAAAATCTTGTTAATAACGTAACACAGTCAGTGACATTCTTTTTTCTGCGTAATCACTGTATCAGTCCCTCAGTTTGATGCTCAGGTGTTCTGTGCTTAATGGTATTGGGGAAAATTTTCAGAAGAGCTTAAGTGCCATTTTCAAAGGTGACTTAGGTACTCAAGAGCTAAAATGTCATTGAAAGACTTAGACTTCTAAGGCCCAGATCCTCAAAGATATGTAGGTATGTAACTCCCACTGTAATCAATCTAAAAATCAGTGGTAGGTAGGTGTTTAAATACCTTTGAGGATCTGGGCTTTAAGTGCCAAAGTCACTTTTGAAAATAGGAATTAGTCTCCTAAGTCACCGAGAGACAGATTTTTAAAGGAATTTACCGTAGTTGCCAAAATATTCACAGACACCTAGTGGGATTTTAAAAGCACCTAGGCGCTTTATAAAATCCCACTAGGCATCTATAGGCATCTTTACATAGCTATATGCCTCTAAAAATCTAGCTTTTAGGCACTTCTGAAAATTTTACCCAGCATCTTTTGATAATACATAACCTCAAAGCCTGGAACACAGGGGTTTCATTACACTTTTTGTAACACCAGGGGGTGCTAAACCCAGTCTCCTTTTCAAGTTGGGTCACTGCCTTCCTAGATTCCTGCTATAGTTTCAACTGGATGCACTCTTCTTCACATCCCTACCTATAGATTATTGGATGGTGTTGCTGCTTTAGAAAGCTCACTGCATTTCATTGTTGGGTGACTAATCTCTATATTTTAGCACCTGTGGATCTTTCAGGATAAAACAGATGTAATCTACTAATATTGTTATTGTCAGTTTCTGGTATAAATCTACACATGGGAATAGCAATGAACTCATGCCGTGATCTGGGACAAGGAGGCACAGCAGAGAAGGTGCATTCCAGGAAGAAAAAGAGCAGATTCCAGGCTGTTATAGCAGTGAGAGCAATTCATGGCATAATTTACAGTAAACTCCCAAGGGTTGTACTACAAAATCTTTCATAGTAGCCCTGAGTGCTATACTACTCCACCTTTCTCTTGAGGGCTGTGAGAAGGGTATATAACATCTCAGATACTGGACTGTTATATCTCCTATAACTAAGGAATTTTCCCAACACTCGTGGCTTCTTTCTGGATGCTACACATTGCTGGAAAGGTGTATAGTGGCTGGAGTGCTTATTTGTCCCTATTTGGCATTATTCAGTGTGGCATCTGACTCAGAAATGATCTGTTTTCTTGGTCTGAACTGTAGGTAGTCTAAAAAGAGAATGAAGCTGCTGCCTTCTTCATTTCTCCTATCATATATAATGTTAGAACTTCTATGAAAAGTGCTAGAAAATGTATCTTTGACCCACCTATTCAGTTTGTTTGTTGTTATATTTCCTTCCTGACAGGGCCTGAGCAGAACAGTGGCATTGTTTTGCCTCCTGAAGCCTGAGAGATGCTCACGCATATAGACAGTGTGTTCATCAGGAACTGACAGAACCGTTTTGTTGTTTCTTTTCAGATATACTCACTGGTGACTGCCTCCAGTTATGCAGCTTCCATAGCATGAAACATCACTGAATGACCAATGAAATTTGCTTTTAAAAACTGTCAGGAGTTTGTGGGTGTCTTGATGGGAAACTGCTGTACTGGAACTTGATGTAGATCTCCTCCTTTTAGCAGTGTCTGCTTGCTGCCAACTCTTGTTTTGTTTAGTGAAAAATGCTTTTATAAGAAGAATTACAGTGTGATGTCTGTTCTATACCCTGCACAACTCCAAATAACATCAGCTGGAAATGCACAGCTGTATCCTTGCAACATCATTTGAAAAATTGCCTTAACATTTGCATGACAAATTTATTTCAGCTAATATAGGGTGAAACTACAGTCCTGACTTCTAACAAGAGTTAAAAGGAAATAAAAATGGGCAGTGTAGTATTGAAGAGGTTACTACTTCTCAACATCACAGAAAGCAAAGGCAGAAGGCTAAAACAAAAAGTGCAACGGATACATTCTGTGGGGGAATATTGTAGATGCTTTCTACATTGACAGAGTATTTAATTCACCTCTCTGAGAGGCAGTATGTGGGTCTATAGAAGTATTCTTTCATTGACTTATCTGCATCTTTTATTGGAGGTTAAGCTGACCTAACTACATTGCATAAGGCACTAAACCTTTCATAACCCTGAGTGATATAATTAGGTCAATCTAAACATTTAAGCAAGCGTAGGCTTCCCCAAACATGATGCTGCAGGTTTTTAGATTCAGCAGTGTTTGTAGTTTAGACTCTTCCATTGGGAGTCAGTATTTTGCATTTAACATTCTCAGAGTACTCATCACTCAAAAATGCCTTTTGTTGTTCCGGTCTCAATCTGATTAGTGGAGACAAGATCTAAAATCACTGTGAGAAGTTAATTCATTGAACGGAGCTGCATCTTTTTCAAGCTGAATTTCTGAACCTGCGTGTTTGATTCTAAAATTAGTAATAGCAATGGCTACTTAGCTCATGCTGAAAGCCACAATACAGGGTAGCTGGATGACTGACGGGATACATGGATGTAGCTAGGGGCAGAAGGCTAGGTAATGCAAGTACTGCTAGTTAGAAAATGCACTGGTCAGTTGGAGAGGTGGTAAGATCCATCACCTTGTCATGATGGGTGATCACTCATTGCCACCTCTCAAGGTCTTTCAAGTGACGTCTGTAGGTTGTCCAAGTTTCAGACCCATACAATAGTGGTGGGAGAATCATGGCTTGATGGACCTTGTCATAATGTTTGCATTTGTGAACAAGGAAATCCCACTAGTTCATTATTAATTATATAGTGCCAGTATCTCTCTACAAGAAGGCACTGGTCTTTCCCAGTGGGCTTACAATTCAAGCAGTGATTTCACTGAGAAGTTTATCCAAGTAAGGAATGCAGATTTAGGCCCGAAGTGATGAAGTGAGGGATTAGTTAGTTTTCCAGGGGATTTGCATGCAGGGGGTGGACTCATTGTCTCTGGGAGCTACTGGTTTAAGAGGGTGGGGGAAGCTTGTTGCAGGAACCAGCACAGAACTGGGGACCCTGGCCAAAGGAGACCCCATGGTTGGTGACCAGGAGACCCAGCTCCCATAGCATAGCTGGTTCTGGTCAGTGGAAGGACAATGGGCTGCAGAGAAAGGACCCTGGTGACATGACCAGCTGGTTCCAGCCAGGGGGAACAAAGGATAGATGAGAGGGGAGGTGAAGAAGAAAAGGGCCAGGCAACCCTGTTTACATGGCCAGAAGACAAAGGACAGGAGAGTATCTGCTGGGGAGGGATATCAAAGGCTCAGCAAGGGGGGGGGGGGGGGAGAATTCTGTATTGGGAAGGGAGAACAGGCAGAGCCACCTGGATGTAGGAAAGGCTTAGACATGCTGTGCTGTGGGAGGCCAGGCGTATGAGCCCTGAGAGTTCCTATGCTGTGTTCAGATGCTCAATAAATCCTCCTGTTTTGTGCTAGCTGAGAGTTGCTCAGATCTAGAGAACAGGGTTGCGTTATTCCCTCTAGGCGTGGAGGACCCATGTGTCCAGAGCGAGTGGACTCCTTGCGGGGGCCCATGGCAAGCGACAGGTGTGCTGAAGATTCAGAGAGGTGTGGTTTCAAGAAGCAGAGGGGCTTAACTCCTGAGAGAGCGCGAACCCCCAAGAAGAGCTGTCCCTCCTAGGGACCATATGGGGTCTGTGATGCACCTTTCATCCCATTCAACCCTGGGAGCTACAGGGGCTTGCAGTGACCCCCAGCACAAGTTAAAAAGAATCTATGTGCTGCTCTAAGTTGCTCCAGCCTGTAATAGTCTCCAAGGGGCCTATGCACTTGTAAGGTTCCCTGAAGCACAGGCATTCAGATCTTGCCCCATGCATGGGAGACATGCAGGCCCTGGCATAGAAGCAGCTATTCTAGCTTTAGAATAGCTAAGGGGTGCTTCACCCTAAGGCAATCCCCAACCCCATCAGTTTTATGCCAGCTGAGGATTTCTGCAGCGCACTTAGTGTCCCCATTCAGCAAACACATGAGTTTTTGTGACAATTGTCACAATTTTAGCAGGGATTTGCCTCCTATATTTGGGATATTAAATAGTTTTTAGAACAGTGTAGAATTCACCAGTAAATTATGAGCGTAATATCCCAAGAATATATGATCCAAGATGTTCAACCATTTTAAATGGAGCTGTTGTATAATATTTCTCAGGTAATTAGTGATTTTACCCAATCAATCAACCTGTGAATTTTTTTCTCAGTGATTTAACAACTCTGATCATTAGCAACAGATAGATGTTAAGATCTAAAAACTATTAATAGGGTCATATTAGAGGCATAGATTTAGGGCTGCCACATTTTTAACTACCTTGCAACTAATTAGATTTGATTAGCTTTTGGAAACAGTGGAAAAATGTAGTGCTGGATCTAGGAAATAAATGAATTTTACAAATGCCTTTTTGTAATTATTGGATACTAAGGTGCTCTTAAAGCATCATCTCAAAAGCATTTACTGCCATCACCTAACTAAAATTAATGTGGGAAATGAGGGTTACAAAAATACAGCATTTCTTCAGTTAACTAGTCAATGGAGACCAAGAAGGGAATATTTGCAGTTGAAAAAATGAGTACAGGGAGATGCATTTGGTGACAAAGGATTACACAACAAAAATGTACATAAAATACAGCATTTGTATTTCAAGTCTGCCTTGTCCTTAAAACTTTGCTCTTGAAACAGGCAGGCTCATCAGCAGCTGAGCGGAGGGGGGGGGGGTTTCAACAGTGAATGATCTTCAGCTGCCCAAATAAGACCGGGGGAAGTTTTTCAACAGTGAATGATCTTCAGCTGCCCAAATAAGGAAGCTGTCTTTACAAAAGGAGGGTGTTCTCCACCTTTAGCATTAATTCCTCTTATACTCTCCAAATCAGCAAATTACGTGCAGGAGAGAAACTCACTGATGTCAAATTCGTTCACGAATGAATGAATTCCCATGCATTTCAAATTTGTGTATCACTTATTTACTACCAGCAAACCAGGAGAATTACATTGTCTACTGTAATTACATTGTCTATTGTCTATCGTCTACATGTTTTGTTAGTCTTTAAGGTGCTACTAGACTATAGGTTGTTTTTTAAGTTTTTCTTGTTACAGACTAACTCAGCTATCCTTCTGAACCTATTGTCTACTGTGACAGGGTCAGGCTGGGGGACTACAATAGATAGAGAGAAAGGCAGCTCTAAAGCATCAACAGCTTTGGTAAATCAGGAGCAAAGGAGATAGGGCTGCTGTAAATCAATCAGAGTCAGCTGATCTCACCTGAGGCTGCCATGGAGCCTTTAAAAAGGAAAGTGATAGCAATGTAGCCATGTTAGTCTAGGGTAGCTGAAACAAAATAAGTGCTACATAGTGATAGCAATATAGCCATGTTAGTCTAGGGTAGCTGAAACAAAATAAGTGCTACATAGTCCAGTATTTTGTTTTAAAAGGAAGTCCTCCTTTTGGGGAGGGTGGAGAGAAAGTGCAGGCGGGTGAGCCCACCTGCCCCTGGCCTGAGACAGAAAAAAAGCAGGGGGTTTAGGCCCCCTCTCCTTTACCTGGTAGCCTGAGAGCCCAGCTGAGAGCTGGAAAGCACTGTTTTGGCAGGCTTGGCTGGCTCTGGGGCACTGGCTCCAATGCCCTTTGTGGCTGAGGGACCAGAGCTAATACCCTTCCAAGGGCTAATAGCACAGTACTGAGACTTCCCAGTGAAGGACTGAGCAAGGTACTGGGACCCAGGAGTGGGGTCACCCTGCCACACTATATAATATCCATACCAAGTTCACTATTCTCTTATTGCACCAACTATGCCCTATGATTTTGCAATATAAAACATACATCTCTCAAACCACTGCTTTACAAAAGATCAAAACCTACACTGAACATCAATGGGGATTAAATCAGATTGGGAGTTTAGGCATGTAAATACAGTTGAGAATCTGGATTTACGTTCAGACTTCACTTTTATGCCTTTGAAAGCCTCCTCTGACATTCCTAGTTTTCTGACTTGGATCTAATTTCTGTTTCAGTCTGGAATCCCTTCTGAACCAATATGTTTTCCTGTGCAATGAGGAAGGGTGACTTTTAAGGACTGAAAAAATCAGACACCCCACACACCATTTTTCTGGTGTATTTTTAAAAGTAATTGTCTACTCTGGTTCTGTCAGACAGACACATTTATCCCTGCTGCTGTAATTCCACAGACCTCAGCAGCATTGCACCAAGAATGAATCTGGTCTAAACCATCGATCAATTGTTCGAGCAAGTGGAGTTACAGCTGTTCAGCCTGGCTGGGAGACGGATAACAGGGTCTGAATTGCAAAGAAAAAACTCCAATAGAGACCCCACTTAAAACACAAACCCAAGTTTTAATACTGACTGATTCAGTGTAATTTTGCTGTCCTGAGCCTTTCCTAGTTCCTATATGAAAACATTTCTAGTATAATACTTGTGCCTGGAACTGCCTTTTGACCCCTTCTCCTCCTGCCCTACACATGGGCTATGTCTAGACTGGCATGATTTTCTGCAAATGCTTTTAACAGAAAAGTTTTCCGTTAAAAGCATTTGCGGAAAAGAGCGTCTAGATTGGCACGGACGCTTTTCCACAAAATCACTTTTTGCGGAAAAGCGTCCGTGCCAATCTAGACGCACTTTTCCACAAAAAAAACCTCGATCGCCATTTTCGCGATGGGGGCTTTTTTGCGCAAAACAAATCTGAGCTGTCTACACTGGCC